ACCATTTAAGCTTTTGTTATGCAGGTTCTCCCAAGGGAACGCAAGAAGCAGGAGTATCTTGACACGGTCAAAGATCGGTACAAGCACCTTCTTGAAGTGAATCGCATTGTTAGGTAAGCTCTATTCCACAATGATGCACACATTTACCATATATTCAAAGAAAAAAATAGAGAGTGATGTTAGAAAATGACGGAATAATGGGAGTAAAAGAATGATCAAAGTCTCTTTGGTAACCTGTAGAGATCTGCCTGTCTGAAGTCCTTACATAAATATGTTTTAAATAACATTTTTCCCGAATTTGGATCGAGCTAGGAACCAAAAAAAACAAAAATATGGCACAAATGTTGAGAAAATTGAGACAGAGGAATCGGACTTTGCAAGGGTTGTCCTACTTATTGAACTATTAATCTAACGACTTTAATACAGTATCTTCAAATATTGCGTCTTTTTCTTCCAGTGGAAACTTCCTCATAGTGCCTGCTGGTATCTAGAAATGAAGAAACTGCAGACTGGGAAAAGGAAAAGGGGAAAGCGTTTAAATTGTCAATCTTTAAATTTTTACTCAAGTGCCTAAAAGTGTTATCTTGAGAGAATATATGATTTTAATCAATAATTTGTAATAATTATTTATTTATTTATATGTTTTTGACACCATTTCTGTAATGGCTTAGTCGACTTTAAATAGCTTTTGATGTCTCATGGGAAGTCCGGTCGAGTTTTAAATCTTTACTTGAAAACCTCAAGAGCATTGGAGGACGCAGTCATAATGCTAGCACGTGAATGGCATGTTTCTGCGCATACTTTCACATTTCATACTTTATTTTACCGGAAACAATTCATGAATTATATGCTTGAAGATGAGGCTGAAATCAGTCAGGAGATTTACGGGGAAGCTCTACATTACTATAATCATAATAGTAGAATAATAATGATGTTCACATCAGGGTTGCGAATGAGCTCGGCCCTTGTCTCCCGCAGTGGCACACCCCATGCTTTTTTTCACACGTTACACAGACCTGGTTGGCCAGATAATCTAGACCCCCGCCCCCCACAATTCCTCATTATGAACATCTGTGTGTATGTGTGTGTGTGACCATGAGAGAGGGAGAGAGAAGCTGTCATATGGGTGGTTAATCGAAGAACAGTTAAGATCGCTGGAGGCCCTTCCATTCAGACCCTTGGTTCTTCCATCGTGTTAATACCCTCTCTTTTTTTCTCTCTACAGGCATAGGTATCTGCCCAAACCGATATACAAGGCTGCCAATCTGAGGCGCACAATGATCGAGGAAGAGAGGACCAAAGAGAAGAGGAGGAAGGCCCACAGTGCCCCCGGGAGCATCTCTGCCAAGTCATACCGCAAGAGAAGGATCATCAGAGAAGTAGAATGAGCAAAGGTGATGGCTTTTGGATATTTTTTCGTCATGTATATCTTCTCCCTAATATTTTGGCTTTTGAGAGGAGAGAGAGAGAGAGAGAGAGAGAGAGAGAGAGAGAGATTATCATCGGAAAATGGGCTTAAGGGTAGAAATCTCATGGGTTGAAGCATGGATTATTCTGGTTGTTTGATTCTTGAGATATTCAAAGATGAGTCATGGAAGGGAATTGTGGGAGGGTTCTTGAGGTATTCAAAGTGCCCGAATCTATTTTATCAAATTGCCCATTCAGCTGCACTACGAGGGGGATAAAATTATGAAGAACAGAAAAAAAAACGAAACAAGTAATTGTAAAGTAACCAAAAAATGTATCGACATGCACATATTCCGAATTAAGCAAATAAAACTATTAAAAAAATTGAGTGAACAAGCGATTCCGCTTTGTTCATCTTCCTAGTAGGAGGTAGGTAGGAGGAGCCTGCGCCAACTATTGAGATCTAATCAAGAACTCAGACCCTTGTTTCTGAGCTTTTTCTCAGGGCTCCCAAGGCCCCATCTGACAGCACAGCAGGCATTGAATAAATTTTGGCATATTATATTGTGCATGGAACGTATCATGCCTATTACTAAAATCTTGAAATATAATTGAAAAGGTGTATGGGAATGAGGCAATTAGTTTGTTGAGTCTTATACTACAATGAACAAGAAAATAGTACCAGAGGAATTTTGATGCCGAAAATATTCGAAAAAATCACTTCGAAGGCAGAAGAGATGCTAAAACGAGTCTGGTGTAAAATCCTGCGGAAAAAAACAAAAAGGGGAACGGGAGATCCAAAGGCCGTTCAATGAAAGGTTGAACACCCTTCCATATTCCCAGGAGTTCAATATCATCTGTGTTTGCGATACCAAGGCGAGCTAATCAGCTCTGCTGAACTCTTCAAACAGATAAAATTTTCTGGAACTTCCACAAACATCCTGGCTGGCTGAGGCTGTGCACGAGCAATCTGCAACTTTAACCCAAAAAAATAAAAATAGAATCATAAATTAATGACAAAAACAGGGCACCAAAAACATAGATTTGCCTAATACAATTTCTCAATCAGTTTTCATTAAAAAATTTATCAAGTCAATGCTCAAATAAGAGCTAGATAAAATTTCACTACACACAGTCCCCGCATAAAAAATATTAATAATTCGATGTTTGATACAGCACCACTATCTAAAAATCTAACTCCATGTTTAACTCAGAAGTCCACTGAAATCTCACAAATTCAATTCTTAATCCAGCACAATGTAAAAATCATACTAATTCAATGCTTAATCCAGCAGAAACGTTATTAGTTAAATGTTTAAACAAGGATAATATAATACCTCCTACAACTGAACCTCTGTCATGGCCATTGGCAGCTTCAACTTCAGCACACTCCAAAGTCAACAAATGTAGCTCTTTGTCACATTGGCCCTTGGCAGAAAATTCAATACTACGTTCTCCTCCATCCAATTGTGAATTCAAGACTTTCCATGACTGTCTACGTCTCAAAGCTTTCCCTTGCCTTCCGATAGCAGGGGTCAATGCCAGCGTGGAAGGATAATATTTATCGAGGTTCTATAGGAAAATAAAAGTTATTTGCTAAAGGAAGAACCTGCTCTTGAAATAAACATAGAAAAAGGGCTCAAGGGTTATTTAATAAAGCCTAAAATCTTCAAGGTGATGATGAAATCTTATAATCAGAGAAGAAATTAACTTACCAGCTGAAAGGCAGCACAGAAGGCATGTAACTCGAAGTTCTGGACAGCATCTTTAATAAAACTTCACCTTTCTTCACTCTAAAAAGGAAAAGTGAATTAACTGCTATTTCTTCTGTAGTAAAACCTTCAAGATCTAAATGGTCTTGTGGGGATGAGAATGTGAAACGGGATTTCATACATGGAGAATAGCAATCAAGAGCACTTTGCATTGATTCATAAGCACGCATTCTACATTTGCTGACTTTTATAAACTAGCAATGCCAATTATTCGCCATTATATTCACTATTTTCATTCATTTGTTATGATCATCTTTAAGATGTTTACAGGTCTTCCGATTTTCAAGCATTAAATAGGTCACAAGTATCTACCTCAACATCAAAGGTCACAAACACGTGATAAGTCAAAATTTATCATTCCTTCACTTCATGTCTTTGCTGTCATGTTCCCTATCAAAAATGCAAACAAATGAGATGAATTCAATACAAATATTAAGAATAATTAATACAATTTAAAATTAGTGTTTCATCAGACATAATGGTCATTGTTCACTTTCATTGTAGATCATTTCTCAGCACAAGAATTTCCAATAGGTTGTGCATATTCATAACAAAGGCATGATGACTCATGCCAGGTTACATATTGAAAAGGGCTCGGTTTAAATGGAGGTTGTTAAGATAAGCATGATTAACAACTGCAGATTGGCCTAGTACGACCTTAATCCAGATGGAACCGTATTGAAAATGTTGGCTGATCCAAGGAAGAAAGCCATGATATGTCATTACATTTATTTTTTCCCATAGGTATAACTAGATCAAATTTTGCATCTAAGATAGAAACAACCATGCCCTTTTCATGTGAAACCCATTCCACTTAAAAACAATGATGTGGGGAATTTCGCACATTCACACGTGGTGCACGGAATTCTGCTGATCCGATTTCTGAGAAGAGGGGAGGGAATTCTAACCTGATTCTAATGACTCAACGCCCAGAATTGTACATAAATTGTGCATACGAAATAAAGCTGCCAACTAGTCTAAAATGGCTAACCAGAGAGGGTTAAGGACCTGAATTGATTTATTTTTTTTAACTGATCCAGATACGATCTGATTCCAGAGACTGTGCATTAGCATCACAATTGATTTCAAGACAATTCCATGTTAGATACTTTCAGAGGAAAATTCCATGTATGGCTATTCCTTTGCTGTTCGACATCTAATACCTTAAAATCTAAGTTAAACCCCTTGTCTTTGAAACAAAGATAATAGATTGATAATCATGTGTTCATCAGAACTGGTTACCTGACGACCAAGATCACGTGCACTTCTTCCAAGAGCCAAGCCCAACGATTTACCTCCTTGGCTCATAGGAAAACTACACGAGTCTGACTTTGCAAAGTGTTCATCAGATAATAAATTATAGCAGCAACTAATGCAAACAACGGTTTTCACTTGTTCACATTCTATGAAAGTCCTGAATTCACAACACAAGCCATGCATTAGTAAATACAAACTTCTTTATTGGTGGAATACATGAGCAAAATAGTTTTTCTAAACAAAAGGGAGAGGATTGGACCAAACAAAGGAGAAATAAACCAGCTCACAACATTAGCTTAACACAAACGAGATGAATAGGTTGTCAAGAAGATCTTAACCTCGACATATTCACTGAGAGGTCACCAGAAGCATGAAGACCTGCAAAAACCAATGGTGATCCAGCACGCTCATTATCTCTATGGAGAGAGAGAGAGAGGGGTGAGTCATAAATAGGAGAGAACAAGAAAGCTGCCAGCTTGAGAGCTTTTCTTTGTACTTTCTGTTGATGTCGAGCTGATGTGATCTTCTCCTCCAACTGGAGGTAGGCTGCAGGGCAGACCAAGTTTATGCATGCTTGAAGAGCTTCATGCTAAGCCAATGGAAATACACCGCAACGACCAGCACAGGAAGGGTCAAGGGAACTAACATGCAGTAGTACCTAACGAATTAAATCAAGATGAATCAGAGAGACAATCATAGAATCACAGGTCATTTAAGAAAACAAAAAAAACCCTAGAATAGACCCTAAACTCCAAGGCTAAGAGATTAAAACCCAAGTGGTATGAAGACCAATCTTAATATAATCAACATAAGCATTGAAAAGAGCGTGAATCCTAAACCACAAAATTACAAACTCTGAAGCCTAAAGTAGAAATCCTGTGAAGATCCTCTGAAGATCAAACTTAACACAATTGATATCAGCTTTGAAAAGTGCGAAAAACCTTAAACTATAAAAACTAGAAACATAGAGGCTAAAGGAGGATGAGCACAGAGCTTCCCTTGTGAACTGTTGAAGGAAAGATGAATGCCAAAAGAATCTGGATTCTACACCACATAGATTGACAAAAAATTCATGTCTCGTGAATTAGGTGGGAATAAGATCTATTTGACTAAGTTAACAGTATGTCTTTCTCATACATAAAGGATAATACTTTTTGTCTTAATTGCTTCCCGAGCACTCCAAATGCCTCCCATTTAAATTAAGAATCTGCAGAAATGTTATGCAAAGCGCCATATGAATAATCTCTGAATCAACATCACTAGAATACATCTAATCTTTTGTTTTTATAAAATAGATTTCAAATCAAGCAAATGTCATGTAAGGAAAAAAATTAAAAGCTTATTTTCTAAAAAATGTATTTTATGCCAAGAGCAAGGCTTTTGGGCTAGAGAAAAGACCATGAATCCTTAAAGACTGAATATATGGGTATATGGAATTCATGCTTGATGCAACTTGATAAATATAATAGCCTGAATAGAACAAAACCATGTTGTAGATGGAAATTGAAGGAACACCTGTCATGCTGAACAGCAGCAATGAATTTATTTTCAAATGGAGGAAGAAGCTTGGACAGGATGGCAGCAAAGAAAAATCCCAAGAACGAAATACAACCAGCAAACAGACAAGCTGATCCCCAAAATGCTTGTGGCCTTTTATGATCAGGCAATGCCAGACTTTCTTGCTCCAAAATGCTGGGATTTTTCATCTTGTCGCTAGAGAAATAGATCAAGAAACTCAATTTCTCAACAACTAGGAATCCTGCAGCCATATCTTAAAAATAATGTGTCATGAAGTGGTGCAACGTTAATAAGAATAATTAATTTAAAAGGAAAGCAATTACCGGTGCAGAGTTGGTAATTGAAAATTGTTGCTACAAAATATTTAAAATTTATAAACTAGTTTCACTGAAAAATATAACTCATAATCAAATGGTGAAAACAGGTCGATCTGCAAGGAAGAATGAGAAAAATCAAGTGTCAGTTCGATTATTTAAAAGTTGATGAATACATATTTATACCTTTTCGTACAGACGTATAACACTTTTTATACCTTACTAAAGCCTATATATTGAAAGTTTAATAATACAGAAGGAAAAACTTAAAAAATATTACTGATCAAGTCAACAATCGCCTACTGGAAGAGAGGAAGAGTGGTGGCCGCAATGACATGAGGCACAATAAGAAGGAAAAAAAATGTATCAATGGACAGTTCTTGCCAATAAAAACCCTAATGCGAAGGTTTATAGGGATTCAGCTCGTGAAAACCCACATCTGAAATCCAAAACATAAACCCTGGTCGAGTGAATGATGAAATTGGCGAAAACAGTGAAAATTAAAGAGACTAGTCAAGTTTGGGAGGTGATTCGATCAATTTTTGGGGTCCCCACATGAGGCCAACAATTAAATTCTCTGGTGCATAGCTTGAGAGCTCCCCAAGAGTGTACACTGTGCTAAGAATTGATCTGCAACTTGAGTGCATCTCCTGCGACACTACATTAAGACAAGAGAAGGATCATATGACCATTATATTATTAGAGAGGAATGTATTGTCGCCGCCGTCACTGTAAATGCCTTTGCCGCATAACTCTTCTGCTGCCTGTCATGCAAAAGAGGGTCACAACACTGTTGTCATACTCGTCAGCTCCTCTCTCCATCACGCTGAAAGGGGCCCACCACCACTGTCATGAACACTACTACAGCCTTGTATAACTTCTTTGTTGTCTATTATGTAGAAGGAGACTAAAGCACTACAATTGTCACGAGTGTCACTATCAACTCTTCTCTCCATCATATCAAAAAGGAGACATCCGATCCTATACCTTCAGTCTGTCCATTTGATTTTAATCACCCCAAATGTAGTCTGCTAATCCACTAAACCATTGTGGTCCACAACTTTTAAATAATTTATAAGATCTCTAGTAATAAATCTAATGAATTTAATGAGATCTTGCACAATGTCGTGGTCTGCGGATCAGCGGATTACTTTTTAAGGTGGTTAAAATCAAATGGACAGACTAAAGGCACATGATTAAATGTCCTTCTTTTGACATGACAGAGAGAGGAGCTGAGGTGACACTCATGACAATAGCAGTGCTCTGGCCCCCTTCTATGTAACAAGCAGCAAAAGAGCTATATAAGGAGCTATAAAAGGTTGTAGTGCTCATGACGGCGGCGATGAGCCCTTTTTGATATGATGGAGAGAGGAGCTGATGAAGACAACAACAGTGTTGTAGCCCTCTTCTATGTGACAGGCAGTAGAAGTCGTGCAATAAAGGCACACGGCGATGGCAATTCCTCTCCAACGATATAATGGTCATATGATCCATCTCTTGCCTCAACATAGGGTTACAGGAGATGCACTCAAGCTGCGGATCTGATGTAGGATATCTATGAGAGACATAGAGTGGGTTGATTAAGGGTAATGTAGGGATAGATAAGTCAAGCCACAAAATCACACCATCGATTTGAACCTTTAAATCTGGAGAAAATGATGATGGTGCAGCCCTATTCCTCGGTCAAGGGCAGGAGTATTGTCTTACAACCACCACGATAAGTAAAGCTCCAAATTCAAAATCCCGGATGGTTAGCCACGATAAGACACAAATCTATCACGTTAAATCTGATGGTGATGGAAAAATACACAAGAAAAAACTGGATGAAATAATATGGGTCTCCAAAGAGTGAAGAGAAGACCTTCAGCGCTACGACAGGGCGAGCGGCGATGCGGCGAGCCTCGAGTTGCGGCGGGACGGTGGAAGGTGGAGACTGGGAACCTTGCTGATCAATCTTCAATCTTGAACCGGGCTTTTTGGCGAGGGGATTGCGGATCCAACTGCGCGGTCAGTTGGCGGGGCGGTCAAGGGAGGAAGCCGCCCCCTTGCGGGGTTCGGGGCAGCGCCCCGAAACCTAGACCGGGGTTGATACCGCGTACTCTCCCAATGGAGGACCTCGACGTCCCCGTGGCGAAACGGGCGGCTGGGGGAATCGTCGCGCGCGAGGGGCAATGGGCAGATGTGTGGGGGAGGAGAGTCACGCGCGCGTCGGCCGAGGGCGCGTGGCTGCGTCGGCTGCTGACGACCTGAAAGCGGTGCCTTACGAATAGTCAACACTCGTCGTCGTGAACGTTGTCGTCTACCGGCGGCGGTAGACAACAACGCGCCAGATGGCGGTTGGCGCGGTCGGCGGCGAGAGGAACTGGATGTCGCTCTCGAATGGTGGATCACGGGTGGATGAAAGGGGAAGTCGTGCGCTCGTGATGGGCGGACGGGCGCCGATGGGTCGCCTCTCAGCGGCGGTGGCTGAGAGGAAACCTTAGGGCAAATTCTGAAAATGATGTCTACATATCTAAAATTCACCTCCAAACCCTCTAATACAGCTCTAATCTTATTTATAGTGTCAACAATTCGTTAACGGAAACTAAATGAAAGGAAAATCCTAATAATAAATAAAATTCGGACATTGGATCCTAGGTTGACGATGTTGACGTGGCATGATTCCTGTGCTAGCCTTTCCCTCCTGTGGTGGCGCCGTCCCTTTAAATGGTGGGCCTGATACGTTTGCCCCACCAAGATTAATCCTCAGCACAGCGTAGACTCTTGGGGAGCTCTCAAGCTATGCACCGGAGAATTTGATTGTTGGCCTCATGTGGGGACCCAAGCAATTGATCAAATCACCTCCCAAACTTGACTAGTCTCTTTAATTTTCACTGTTTTCGCCAATTTCATCATTCACTCGACCAGGGTTTATGTTTTGGGTTTCAGACGTGGGTTTTCATGAGCTGAATCCCTATAAACCTTCGTATTAGGGTTTTTATTAGCAAGAACTGTCTGTTGATACATTTTTTTTCCTTCTTATTGTGCCTCCTGTCATTGCGGCCACCACTCTTCCTCTCTTCTAGTTGGCGATTGTTGACTCGATCAATAATATTTTTTAAGCTTTTCCTTCTATTTTATTAAACTTTCAATATATAGGCTTTAGTAAGGTATAAAAAGTGTTATACGTCTGTGTGAAAAGGCATAAATATATATACATCAACTTTTAAATAATTGAACTAACACTTGGTTTAGGGTTATTTTTTATTAAGGTTTGATTATATTGATGTTGAGAAATGTTTATCTTCGAACGTCATACGTGAGATCTAGGGAAGACAAGAGATAGCTCTATTTGGAAAGTGGTAAATGAAAGATGATGTAGATGTGATCGAGGTTGATCATCTCAGTTGAGACTGTTATGAAATCTTCTCATCCATAGTGTGATGATAGTTTTGTGACTATGGTGCTGCGTATGCCAGGTCGTGTGCTGACTGAGGGTTGGGTTAGGCGATCCGTCACTGTCGAGGGACAATAAGTATCTGTGTTTGCCATATACGAAGTGCTGGCATGGTGATTTGGTCCAAACGATGTCAATCTCGAGCTTCGGTCAGCATCTCTTGCCAAGAAGAGAATACAAAACACAAACGGATGTATACTACATGTGTAGCAAACACGTCTGTGACGTGACTCAGTCGTTGTATGTTAAATCACGCAAATTTAAAATTTATAAAACTAGAAAATACGAATTTTCGGATATTTAGAAGTATTTCAAAATAAATAGATCAATTATAATTCAATAAAAATCTCAAAAATAGTGGTAATTTTCCAGGTCGATCACAGGGATGTAATATAATATCTGGTAATTATTCAGAATTTTTCTCAATGAGTACAATTTTCTTACGAATTTTATACTAGGAAATAAAAAGGAAATATATTTAAAATTCACAAAAGAGGAAATAAGGGTGCGGACGTCAGGATGACGTCAGCGCCCGGCGAACGCGAATCAGGCGGAAACAGAGTTCCGCCCGGCGATTCTTACGTAGGCGATTACAGACGACTCAATTAATCAAATTAAGATCTGTAAAAGCCGGAAGAATCGTAATTGAACGAAGTATAGTTTGGTAAATTAAAATCAACAAAGTATCACTAAATGAAGCGTAAATTAAATTGAAAGCAGGAAAACAGAGTTCCGGCGTCGCGACGGCGATGCGTCGGCGATGCACCGGAATCCTGAGCGTTCGGGAGGATCGTTGTGCAGTGTCCACGGCCTCGAAGGCTCTCCTTGGACAAAGACGACGTGGGCAATCTCTAGATAAAGCAGGAAAACAGAGTTCCGGCGTCGCGACGGCGATGCGTCGGCGATGCACCGGAATCCTGAGCGTTCGGGAGGATCGTCGTGCAGTGTCCACGGCCTCGAAGGCTCTCCTTGGACAAAGACGACGTGGGCAATCTCTAGATCTTCTCGCGAAGTCTAGAGACCAATGAAGTGGGTCGTCGAATCGTCTCCGGCGGCTGTCACCCGGCGGAGCGGAAAAACGGCGACTTTGCGGCTCTTCGGCGGCTGTCACCCGACGGAGAGGGGCTGGATGGAGGTGAGGCGCGTGTTAGGGAGCTTCATCCTCAGGTCCGCGCAGCAAGAGGAGGCTCTTCATCGCATCTGGTACGCTCTCAGGAGGTGGCGACTGGTCTCCCGGCGGATCGTCCTCTTCTCGACGACGGCTTGTTCGTCGATCAATCGGAGATGATTTACTCGATGGATTGCGATCCTTTTATCGCGAATCGTTCAGAAATTTTAGTAGCAATGCTCCGCGAATCGCGTTGACGAGATTTTCGCCGATGATCCAGCGATTCCGGTTGCTTAATCCTTCACCGGCGATCTGCAGGAAAGTGCGATA